GAAGCTGGATGAGTTGACGTGTAGCAGGGCACCCCTAATACGCAGGTAGACCCCCTGTTCTGCTGCTTGTCACTAACAGTTCATTTTCTGTGCATTTATACTTTTCTTTTTCCTTTGGATAATGGGAATCAGATACTCATCTCCTCATTCTGTTACGCAATTTATTCACGCCCACGTCACTGGCTTGGTTTGTTGTTTTGTTTTTTTCTTTTCTTTTCTTTTTTCTTTCAGTCACCGGGAAATTACATGATTGGGTTTCGGGCATGCAGGGTTTCAGTACTGATCCCTTCCCCGTGTCCACTTCCCTCCCATTGTCCCTTCACCACTGTCCCTCACCCCCACTTCTCTCCCACCCACCAGTCTGCTGCTATGAGAGGCGCTTTATACATAGTTTATATTTTATTATTAAAAAGTTAAAGTTAAAGGCCCTCTGGTTGATCATCGATTTGCTCGAGCGGGCCCAGTAACGTCTCCATTGGAGACTTTGTTGTTACTGTGTCTGGCATATCGAATACGTCACGGGGAGCTTGCCAGGCCCTGCCGTGCGGGCGAGATACTCTCCGTAGCTTACCGCGCTCTCCGAGAGGGGCAGAGGAATTGAACTCGGCCATGTTGGCCGCTTGTAAGGCGAACGCCCTACCACTGTACTATCGCTCCAGCCCTATTTATTATTATTATTTTGCTTTTGGGGTCACACTCAGTGATGCACAGGGGTTACTCCTGGCTCTGCGCTCAGGAATTACCCCTGGCAGTGCTCAGGGGACCATATGGGATGCTGGGAATCGAACTTGAGTTGGCCGTGTGTAAGGCAAACGCCCTACCCACTGTGCTATTGCTCCAGCCCCCTATATTTGATTATTTTATAAAATATCATGTTATGTTGTATAATTATAGAATATATCCTGTACATAAGTATGTGTATGCGTCTATAGCTACACCTATTCCATATAGACAGTTACATACAGACATGCATGTTTGCGCTGTGCTTTGCGGTGCTGTTGCTGAGAGTGTTTCCCAAGGATGACAGTGGGATCGAAGCTAAGCTTGTGAAGCATCATGTATGAACCCCCGATTTGCTGAATTACTCCATGGAGCAGTCATAGCAGGAGGTCTGATTACAGTTTTGGAGGTTTTATTCTGGCTTGGGGGCCACATTCAGGGACTGTTCGGGGCTTGCTCCTGGCTCCGTGCTCAGGGCTCATTCCTGGCTCTGTGTTCAAGGATCACTCCTAGCTCTATGCTCAGGGCTCATTCCTGGCTCTGTGTTCAAGGATCACTCCTAGCTCTATGCTCAGGGCTCACTCCTAACTCCGCTCAGGGCTCACTCCTGGTTCTATGCTCGGGGCTCACTCCTGGCTCTGTGCTCAGGGCTCACTCCTGGCTCTGTGCTCGGGGCTCACTCCTAGTTCTGCACTCAGGTATCTCTCCTAGTGGTACCAGGGGACATAGGCAGTGCCAGGGATGGCCTGAAGGCAGGCCCCCTCCCCACTGTCCTATCTTTCCAGCTCAGGTTACGGTTCCTGCTCACAGTGAGGAATGTGGGAAACGTGGGATTGTTCTCATCATAGGGTCGAACACACATGCCCGCCAGTCTTCTTTCCTTCATCAGCACCTTGCCACCTTCCTACAGAAGCAAAAATGGATGCAGTGGAGGCAAGACATGACAAAGAGGTGGTAGAGAGAAAGGAAAAGAAGAATTTTCTGGGGTTGGAGCTATAGTACAGTGTGTAGAACATTGGCCTTGCATGCAGCCGAACCTGGGTTCAATTCCCAGCATCCCATATGGTCCCTCAAGCACGGCCAGGAGTAATTCCTGAGTGCCGAGCCAGGAGTCACCCCTGTGCATCACAGGGTGTGACCCAAATAGCAAAAAAAATAAAAAATTAAAAAATTTTCCCTTTGCTCTTCTGAGCTATTGGTCAAAGCCCCTATAATAAGAGACAGAATAAACCAGAGGAAAGCAGAAGCTCATTAACAAGATTCCCTCAGGGAGATGTGGGAGACAGAAACAGGAAAATGAAAAACTCCACCCAGAGACTTAAAAATGCAGATGTAAATGACATCTTCATAAGGAGAGGGGGAGTGGGCTTTAGTGGGGGGCGAGGCGGGGGGCTCCATTATTTCTCAGAAAGTGAGCCGGCACTTTGTAGCCTAGAGTGAAGCCAACGTTTTGTGACCAAGTTTAGATGTAGAGTCAACTTCTAGTTGGCAGGAATGAGCCCATCCTTGGTGGTTGGGAAAACTCCTGGAGAATGGGGCTTAGGACAGAGCACTTGCTTCTGGAGGATTCAGCAGGGAAAGGGGTTCGGCCTCTCCCAGCCTCTGAGCTTTCTCAGGCGCCCACCGGCCAAAATTGTGCGGTCCGGCAGCTTACGTGGGCTGGGAGGAATTCGTCCAGCCACATTCGGTGACACATCCTGATTCCCTTCAGAGACAAGGAGAGAGTCTTACAAAGGTGCATCCCCTAAGGAAACATTTTAATGCCAGAGTTAAGCGACACCAGCACAGATAAAATGGGGACCGGGAAAAAGCTGGCACCTGTCTGTATGGGGGAAAGAGCCACTAGGGAGGAAAGCCAGAGACAAGCCGAGGGCAAAGATGCAGAAGGAAACGGGAAGAAAATAGTAGAATTCCGAAGGAGTGAGGCATCTCAGTGATCGCTAAATTAGCACCGTGCTTGTGTTCATGTAAGTTGTGTAGAAATGAGTTTAAATCCCAGCCATCTGCTTCCATATCAAACACATGCACGCTGCACCCCTGACTTCACACCTCCCCCGCATCCATATACATCCCAATAATAATCCACTGATACATTTTTTATGATTTCCCACAGTTGATAATTAAAAAAAAAATAAAGCACTTGATTCAAACCGGTGAATGGTGACCCAGATCTAAATATAAGTACAGTGGAAGTCATAAGTTTCTTTAGTGACAGTCTTCTAATTAAGTTATTTGGTCCATTTTTAGCCACACGGGATATTTTTTGCTTCAGGTTGTTATGAATGTTGTTTGTGAATTCTTGGCTTACTGATGCTGCCGCATAGTTACTCAATCACAGATTACTCATCATTGCCTGCTCATAACAGAATCCTAAAATGTTTAAGATTTCTGATGCAAATCAAAATCTCATCATCACTTGTCATCGCTAAATTAAATGACAGGATAATAACATTACATTAAAACCATTTTTCTCTTGATTGAGTACCTTTTTCAGAAGTGAACCTTGGAGATGTATATTTTTTTTCCATCAGTACTATAAATGCATCTCAAATCCAAGATAAAAATAGAATCGAAAAGGGGAGGAGGGTAGTGGGATGTTTTCAAAGTATTGATGAGTCTCTTCTGAATCACAAATCACCCTATTTGACTACACTGCTAGGGCTGGAGGTGGTTTTTCTCAGTTGCTGGAAACTTTCAGAACTCCGTGAAGAAGGACCACAGTTGACCCCATCCTCACTGTCACAGTCAGGCCACCCCCGTTGCAACCAGACCAGGGAAAGAAGGGGTGGGACAACAGGTACAAGAAGAAAAATAAAATGTATTTGTGCTTCCTGTCTGACTTACGATGCCGGCTCACATTGATCGGGGAATACGGGAGAAAAACAAGGAATGTATGATGCGTGCAACTCAGAAATCTGGCAAGCAGTAAGAACCCGTTTTGCTCCCAAGAAGAATCTAAAATAAGAGTTTACAGGATGTCAGAATCATTCCCCTGATTGCTCTTATAAGAGCTAACAAGTTAAGGCTAATTAAAAGAAGTTGGGGCCAGATAATACAGCAGACAGGGCACTTGCCGTGCACGCGGCCAACCTAGGTTCGGTCCCTGTTATCCCATACGATCTCCCAAGCACCGACAAGAGTAATTCCTGAGTGCAGAGCCAAGCACTCCCAGATGTGACCCAAAAACAAATATTTGAAAAGAAGTTAAGGATTCTTCGAATGGTCCCTTAAAACACACACACACACACACACACACACACACACACACATGCGCACAGGGCTCCTACTCGACCCTTAAGTTTTGGGGCTGGAGAGTAATACAGAGGCACTTGCCTTGCATGCAGCCTACCCCAGTTGATCCCCAGAACCACATACGGTCTCCTGATCGCACTGCCAGCTGTGGCCTCTTTAGCTCTTGGGGAAATCGTGAAGGATGGGCAGAAACAGATTGGCTATCAATCGTCAATAAATACTTGAATCTGTGTGGTGTGAGCCTGGGGCTGGGGCGAGTTAGCATGCTGTTTCCTTGAGTATTATGTGCCTGGGTTCTTCCGTCATAGGAATTTTAAACTAAATTCTTTGGAATCCATTTTTTTAAAAGTGCTCTATGGAAGTTAGCACATGAAATGGTGGCAGAATAGAGTCTGAACCTGGCCGCCAACTGCCCGTCCCATCCTCAGCCATGCTCCCAGAGAAAATAAGATTCTTTGAACAGGAGCCGGATATGTACCAGGATCCTGGTAAACACGTTCAAGTGCCCAGATGAGTCCAGACAGAAGCACACGTTAACTTGGTCCCCCATATGAATGCTGCAGTGAGTAAAAGTTCTGTGCTGGGCACTGAGCGAGGGGAATAAAAAGTTACTTTCTACCAAGGTGCCCGAGAACTCCCAGGTGTAGCACAGGAACTAAACGTACAAAGTCACAGAGAACATGTTGGGTGCCTTCTGGATTAATGATGCAAATCCTGACGTTTCTTGAAAGGAAAAGGTTGTCTTCTCCTTGCAGCCCTAGATGCTTTTTTATTATTATTATCCTTTAGATAATGGGGTCGCAATAGCGTTTAAGTTTATAATATTAATGTGCAAAGTTACTTGTGCAAAGCCCCACCATCATCAAAGTACCTCCTCCACACTCCAAATGTTAGAAATCAGAGCTGCAGACCCGAGCGGGGCCTAGCCCCTCACCTGGCAGCCTTTCCCCTTCAGAAACGAAGTTGAAAGTGATGCCTCTTCCAATACCCTCTCTCTCATTTCCCTCCTCTCTTTTACGTCCTGATAGCCTTACTTCTCGCCTGCCAAGAACTGGAGAAACCATCCATGGACATAAGTTTTTTATTGGCTTTGGAGGGAAAGGTGCCAACCAGTGTGTTCAGGCTGCCAGGCTGGGCGCAAAGACATCGATGGTGTGCAAGGTAGGTACATCAAGCCGCGGGGAAGATTCTAGAAACAAGAAATTTCCTTTCAAACACTTGAGTTCATTGTTTTCATATTCTTAGCCGTTTTTCAAGTGAGCAGTTCACTTTATATGCAAAAGTGGCATTTAGTATATCCACACTGTTTTACAACTGCTGTTTCTAGCTAGTTCCAGAACATTTCCACCCATTCAAAGTAAAAAAAAAAAAACTCTTCACCTATTAAGCGGTTTCTCCCTATCCCTTCCTCTCTCAGCCCCCGGCAACCACCAGTTGGCATGCTGTCCCTGTGGATCTTTCTAGTATGGAGAGTTCCGATCCATGAAATCACAGATGATGGGACCTTTTGCACCCAGCTGCTCTCACTTAAAATAATACTGCCAGGGTCCTTCCCACTTGTAGCCTGCCTCGGGCTTTTGCTCCTCTTATGATTAAATAATATTTCATTGTGTAGATCACTCCTTTATCCGTTCATCTGCTGAGGGACACTTCGGCTGCTTTTGCCTCTTGGCTCTTGTGAACAGAATAAATGTACACGGACTTAAATGAGTTCCAGTCCCTGCCCCGGTTCATTTCTTTTGGAAGTTCCTTGTGAAGATCTAACAGGAGAGAGTCAACTTCCTCCCATACCTCCCGTCCTTTCTATTTGTTTCTGCCTTGTCGAATCCTCTGAGCACTGAGACTCCCCCAAATAACTTCCAATACTGCATTCCCCACACCCTTCCTGGCTTTCCAACCAGAATGTGAAAAGTGAGGTTTAATTCACTGACTGTAATAGGTGTCTGTAGTCCGGCTTCTAAATAACCGCCTGACTCATTCGGTTTTGAGCTGGTCTCGTGCAGCTAATGGAAATTTGTTCTAAGAGCTGTTGTTTTGCCCATCTCAGAGCTACTGTCTTCTGGTGCTGTATTTTAGAACAGGAAGGAACCTGGGCCTTGTGGAAGTACTCAGCCCTCATCTCTAAGCATACATCTGCTTCCAGGCACATATTTTTTTTAAAAAAAAAAAAAAAGGAAATAAAGCAATACCTAAAATGTGGAAATCTAAATTCTCTCCATCCAACTGAAATGATTTGAAAAGAATTCAAACAACTGATGTATTTTCCTTGAATCTCTTGGCTGCTATACATTCCAAATTTGCTTCTTTGCTGAAATGTTAAGTAATCCATCTTTCCTGTTATCAGTAATGGTAGCATCTCGTTGTAGGATAGCTGAACTGGCTCTGCACAGTAGAGGCTAAAAAGAAGGGGGGGGAAATATACAAGAAAGTTCAAAGCTCTCTCCTGTGAACCGGGTCGTTCTGCCAAAATCTCTCTGAAATGTCATTTTCTCTCGCATACACCACTTTTCTCTCCACGGGAGTCTCTAAATGATGTAGAAACCATACAATTATCACTTCATCTGCCAATGAACTGTCTCTTTATTTCTAATTTAAGATTAACCTGATGAAATTCTCATCTGGCTATTTGGTCAGAAACATCATCGCAGCATCAGATTCAAAGTAAAATCAGGAGTTCCAGCCTAGCAAGAAGATTTCTGAAAAATATAGAAATTAATCAGCTTTTAATTATTGAGTGCTGGTTAGTGGTAGGAATTCTGGAACTGGGAGGGAGAGCTGAGTAAGACTTTTAGGCCTGATTAGAAATGAAGAGTTTAGGGAGCGATCAGATGGTGTGGACTTCAAGGGTTTGGAAATCAATAAGGGAATACTCTCATTGCCTAGCTGGGAAAACCTGGGCAGAGCGGAAGCCGGTACCACGAATGACTGCCTCGGGGGAGAGGAGGTCCTCAGAGCTGGAGCCGGGAGAGGGCCAAGAACCCACTTTTGAAGCATTACAAAAGCTGTTCATGAGCCAGACATAGTACAGCAATGCACCCGGCCCGGGTTCAATTCCCACAGCACCTGGTCCCCATGCATCTCTCTAAGATGCATCCCTGAAGGCCCCCGAGCACTGCCAAGGTGGTCCTGGGAGTCCTTGGCACTGCAGGGCCTGGACCTCGCTTTGAGCCAGTGGCCTAATTGGCCAAGAATCATAAGGAGGTGTTTTGTTTATTTTCATTTGTTTTAGGGCCACAACCAGCAGTGGTCAAAGGTTACTCCGGGCTCTGCATTCAGGAATCATTCCTGACGGGCTTGGGGGACCATATGGGATGCCAGGGATCGATCCAAAGTCAGCTGCTTGCAAGGCAAGTTTCCTACCCACTGTACTATCTCTCCAGCCCTAATCATAAGTGGGAGGCCCCCCTCCCGGCCTGACATGCCCCCTCCCCCAAGAAAAGCTGTTCAAGTAGCCACTAAAGTCGAAATGACATGGCCCTTGGGACCTCATCCAACTCAGAGATGTTGAGATTGGTTGTATTTTGTTTGGTTTTGTATGGGGGGAGGGGGAAAGAGGCGCATATCTAGCTGTGGTCAGGACTTGCCCCGACTCAGTGCTCAGGAATCCCTCCTGGCGGTGCTGGGGGAGGTTGGGGTAGGGGAGAGACCATAGGTAAGGGGGGAGTTTCAGTCACATGCAAGGCAAGGGTCTTACTCCCCACTTTTTTTTTATTTTCCCCAACCTGTTTTTAATTTTATTTTTTGCATGGAGGGCAAATTTGGCTGTGTCTTACTCCTGGTTCTGTGCTCAGGGAGAAATCATTTTGATCTGTTGAATAAAGCAAAGAGAAATGCTTTGCTTTATAATGCAAGATCAAAATACTTGAATGGTAGGAATTAAGATGGGTCAAGAACCAGGAAACTCTAGAACCAGATGTGAGAGGAATCTAAGACTGTGTTTTGGGTAATGTTTTGAGCAAATGTTAATTAATGCAAAGACTACTTGCTTTTTTTTTTTGTTGTTCTGGTATATGTATATTCAATGCTATTAGCAACTGTGTGGTGAAAATTCTTTCCAGCTATTTTGCCACTGATTTGTTCTCTAATGTTCATCTCGGGGCAGGAAACAGGGGGTACCCTGGCCCTTTGGGTAGCAGAGGAGAAGAAAGTGTGGCTTTACAAGGGGGACTTGGATCTGCATTTCTCACCCATGGAGCCCCCTGTGGGCCCTCAGAATATTCCAAGGGAACCACATGAAATTGTGTAAATGAGGGGTCACGGCATGAGATTTGGATACTGTGGATCAGTAAGACACCCCGTCCACAGAAAAGAAACAAGGTCAAGAAGCCGGGGGGGGGGGGGGCATACAAAAAGTAGAGAGAGAGTATAGGGGAAGCTGTCTGCCATGGAGGCAGGGGAGGGTTTGAAAGGGGGGTATACTGGGGACATTGGTGGTGGAGAATGTACACTGGTGGAGGGATGAGTGTTCGATCATTGTATGACTGAAACTCAAACATGAAAGCTTTGTAACTGTATCTCATGGTGATTCACTAAAATAAATAAAGAAGAAGGGCACCATAGTCAGAAAAAGGTTGAGGATTACTCACGATCACGATCATCCTGTTGTTCGTTGATTGCCTCGAGCAGGCCCCAGAAATGTCTCCTTGGTCCTAGCGCATATATTTTAAAAAGTGCCATATTTAAGGCTCTTTCAGGGTTAGGAGAATGAGACCCATCATTGTTACTGGTATTTGGCATATTGGGTACACCACGGGGAGTTTGCCAGACTCTGCCGTGTGGGTAGGTAACATTCGGTAACCTGCCAGGTTGTCCAAAATAAGAATGAGATAATAAGACGTCGTGCGGCCGCAAATGCGGCCACGCGCTTCCAGGAACTGGGTTTTATAGTCTCTGGGTCTTAGCTGTTGATGGGATTACATGACACTGGAGGTCAGATGGTGGGTGTTACCCCTGCCTACTGGGAGATGGAGGATCTGGGTGGAGGATGCTCAGCCCCGATCCGAGCAGGCTTGGAGATCTCAGCCCTGGGACCCGCATGCCTTTGTTCCTCAGCCTGTACCTTCATGCATGTGGAGAGTGGTCTCAGCATGGTGGTGACTGGTTCTGGAGGTCTTCGGCTGCCGGAGCTCTATTTGGGGCGGGGAGGGAAACTCAACCCGCCCCCCTCCAAGGAGCCCCAGCAAGGACAGCCAGGCGCAGGGGCAGGAGATTCTGCGCTGTTCTCTTCCGGGAGCTGGGTTTTACTACCTGAGGATTACTAGCTCAGAGAATTCATTAACGCTTCAGTTCTAAAACATTTGCAACTTCTGGGGAAAGACAATTTTTTCTAATAGAAGTTGATAATCCATTAATCGTGGCTCTTCTTTTCATTGTGGAGTATATTTTTTATTCATCAGATTAGCCAAACTCACGTTACCGCAGTTTTTTAAAGATGACGAATTCCAAGTGGAAGCCGAAATCATGAAATTATTCCAGATAAAAAAAATTGAACAGATGGAGCCAAAGAAAAACAGGTAGAAAATTCCCGTTGATTTTTGTAGCTAAATGATCTACGACTGCCCGACAGCAAATGAAAATGCCAGCCCCGATGAAGTAAGGCTGTGGGGCCACGTGCAAAGACATGGTCTTATTGAGCTCAGCAGAAACACTTGTCGTGATCTTCTGGAAAGATTATTAGGCGAGAGTGCATTAATATGTGTACAATGCAACATGCATAATGAAACACTGCGAGTCGTTAAGAGCTCAGTAGCCCACATTCAACTGAGTCATGAGCCAAGGCAACAATCCTGTGCTAATTGGGAGTGATATCTTGAGATTAAAAATTCAGGCAGCTAAGGGAGCTAGAGAGAGTCCAGTGGGTAGGGTGCTTGCCTTATGCGTGGCCGACCCATTCTCTGGCACCCCATTTGGTCCCCAAAAGTCCTGCTAGGAGTGATCCCCTGCCACGTTTGGCCCCCCAAACAAGTAATGGGTAAATATAAAATAAGCTTAAATCAAGGCAGCTGTTTTAGGGAACAAACACCTTCTCGGCAGGACAGAGAACCTGTTAGGACATTTGCTTAGACCCACACTGATAGGTTTAAGTGTTTTGTGCACCTCAACATCAAAAGTCCAGCAGGACCCCCAGGTTGGAATCAAGAGCTGAGGGTGGGGAGCCCCCCGCAGGCATGGGCCCAAAAGACCACAGATCTGATGCCAGTTCTGTCAAAGGTGAGACTATCTCAGCTGTCCATTACAAGTGGCCTTCTGTTTTCTATCCAGAACAATCAGGTATAAAGTTCTGTGACAGAAAGACCGTGTTAGCACAGATGAGGACCCTTTTTTTAAAATTTTATTTTATCTGGGGCTGGAGCAATAGCACAGGGTAGGGTGTTTGCCTAGCACGCAGCAGACCTGGGTTCGATTCCCAGCATCCCATGTGGTCCCCTGAGCACTGCCGGGAGGAATTCCTGAGTGCATGAGCCAGGAGTAACCCCTGTGCATCGCCAGGTGTGACCCAAAAAGAAAAAAAAATTATCATTACTGTGTTTTACAAAATTGTTAGATCACAGTAAACTGAGAAGGAAAATTGGGGGGGGGGGGGGCGGGGGTCAGAGCCATAGCCATAGTACAGCGGGTAGGACACTTGCCGTCCATGTGGCCCACTCGGTTTTGATCCCTGGCTCTCTATCTGGCCCCTTGAGCCTACCAGGAGTGAATCTTCAGCATAGTGTCAGGAATAAGCCCTGAACAATGCCCAAAAAAAGAAATTTTAAAAAAAGGAAAGAAGTGAGTAGGACCCAAAGTCTTCACTGCAGCTGATACTAAAGGTGGCTTGAAAAGCAGTGTATTTGAAATGAGATGGCTAGGTTACCCATCATCTTAACCAAAGCTGTCTGATGGCTTGGCTTCCAGTGGACTGTCCACTGAACACACATTACGATTTTAATAGAATTCAAAGTTCAGATTATATTATCTGGAGAGTTGGGTGGTTAAAGTGAAATTTGTCCTTTCTTGAACCCGGCTGAAAGATACCTAGGTACATGTCATTGGCCAAAGTTGACTGATGTACTTGGCCACCGGTTACCTGTCCAGGCACTGGTCCTCCAGGCCCAAACCAAATAAGTAAATCTCCCCTCCCAAATGAGTACCTGAGAATAGCCTTTTTTTTTTTTTTTTTTTTTTTTTTGGCTTTTGGATTTTGCGTCACACCCAGCAAAATACAGGAGTTACTCCTGGCTCAAACACTCAGGAAATTACTCCTAGTGGTGCTCGGGAGACCATATGGGATGCTGGGACTCAAACCCAGGTCAGCCAGGTGCAAGGCAAATGCCCTACCTGCTGTGCTATCACTCCAGCCCAAGAACAGCCATTCTAAGAGTGTATTGAATGTACCCAGTTAACATCAAGGTGGGTCCTCATTTATCTAGGATTTCAACAACCAGCAAGCTCCAATTACTGAAAGTTTATGTGTTCTTTCCTTTCTTATGAGGAAGCCACAAATGACAAGTTAAAAAATGAACACAAGGGATAGCGTCAACACAACTGCTGAGTTTGGTGACACAGCAGCACAGCCTTCACCTGCTATTCACTGTGCCTTCAGGCACGAAAAGAGACACAAGATGTCTTGGGTGAGCAACATTCTGTTCCGAGCGTGGATAGGTGTTTTGAGCGTGGATGGGTGTTTTACATACCACATCTGAACACTGGAACTCATGAGCCTGATGAAAATTGCCTCAGGTTTCCCGGCAAGCACCTGGGGTTCAGTGAGTTACCTAGTCTGGCATCTCACAACTGGGTGGATTTGCCCCCTTGTGGATCCCCAGGAAAAGACTGGGGTGCCCACCTGTAGGACAAAGTGGGAGAGGTGGCTAGGGGAGGGAGGACCACAGGAAGGAAGCCAGACCAGAAGAGGGTTCGAGGTTGGACAAACCCATTGCTGATGACCTGGCTTCTTACACCTGGAACAGACTCACCCAGCCTGGTTACCTCAGATGGTGGTTTTCCCACAAACTTTCTTTTCTTTTGGTTTTTGGCCCACTCCCCACTGTACTCGGGACTCACTCCTGGCTCTGTGCTCGGGGATCACTCTTAGTGAGGCTCAGGAGTCCCAGGGATTGAGTCCTGGTTGCCTACAGGCTGGGCAAGCACCCTCCATGCTCTGCTATCACCCCAGCCCCTGTTTTCTTTTTGTTGTTGTTGTTTTGTTTTTTTGGGGGGGTCACACCCAGCAATGCACAGGGGTTACTCCTGGCTCTGCACTCAGGAATTACTCCTGGCGGTGCTCGGGGGAACATATGGGATGCTGGGAATCGAACCCAGGTCGGCTGTGTGCAAGACAAATGCCCTACCCGCTGTACTATCACTCCAGCCCCGAGCCCCTGTTTTCTCCAGAATCTTTCTGCACACAAATATCTCATTGTTGCACCCAAAATCCTTGAGTCCCTTCCTGGGGTTATTGGCAGAAAACTTGATTGAGAACCTTGCTATGGCTCTGTGAGGTGCTAGGGCCCCTTAAAGAAACATGACTTAGGGACTGGAGCGATTACACAGCACAAAGGGCATTTGCTTTGCATGCGACCGCCCTGGGTTTGATTCCTGGCGTCCCATATGGTCCCCCAAGCACCAAGCACCAACCAGGAGTGATTCCTGAGCACAGAGCCAGGAGTGACCCCTGAGCATTGCTGGATGTAGCCAAAAAAAAAAAAAAAACGAAAGGAAGGAAGGAAGGAAGGAAGGAGGGAGGGAGGGAGGGAGGGAGGGAGGGAAGGAAGGAAGGAAGGAAGGAAGGAAGGAAGGAAGGAAGGAAGGAAGGAAGGAAGGAAGAAGACTTAGAACAGTCTCAAGGAAGATGAAGAGACAGGCAACTCAGCTGATCAAACTACTACCGAACACCTTTAATTGACCAGGCTTGAGGAGGGATAAGTAAACCAGAGTCTCCAGCGAGCTTTGAGGAAGACTACAAATTCAGGAAGATTGTCCAGGAAGATTACCATACAGCATGGTATTTGATGAAATGTTGTATTCGACGGTCCCATTCAAAAGGCTCTGGGGATTCTGGGAGAGGGGAACAAGGGGGGTGGCTGGCACACAGCGGGGCTGGGCCGGGCAGAGGACAGAGGAAAGGACGCCTGAGTTTTCCTACGTGAAGGCAAGGAAGAAGATGTGACAGTGTCATTCTTTGGTCTCACCATCCAATGAGATGATCAGAGCAAGTGAAGAGGGCCTTATTCTCAGTAAGGTGGCCCATTTCTTGGCTTAACAATGAGAGTTTTAGAAAGAGTAAATGAAACACGGGAAGTCAGCATGTCCAGAGGAGTCTGAAGTCGGCAAGCATAAACCCAGGAAAATCTTGGCCTCTCAGCGTATCTTGAGCTCTGTGTTGCCCGCCTCGAGTCCTGGTTCTAGTTTCTCCAGGTGACCCCTCTCCATGCTCCATGTCTGACCCACCAATGCCACGCTAACCAGGACCTGCCCTCCCTCTTCCTAGCTGCCCCACACACAAAGCTTTACAATCTAACCCAGGAGTGCCAACGCCAAAGGTCTACGCTGACCAAGCAAGTAACATGAACTGCAATTGGCCAGAGGTGCTGTCGGGGGAGCTTCAGAGCTCACCTTTGGGGCAGTTCCTGCTGGGTTCCTATACAAACTTGTGGGCCCAGTGTTTGAGTTTAGGAGATCCTGAACATCCAGAGATTCTGCTGTTTTGGTGAAGTGGGAATGAATGAGAAGAGATAAAACCGGGAAGGCACACCTACAAAAAAGCTGAACATGAACAGTGTAGCAGCTTCAATTGTAATTGCCAAAACTTGACACAATCCAGAGGTGGTGCTGTCAGCTGATGAGTGGATAAATGCTGGTAGAGCCAGACCATGGACACTGAATCCTAACAAGGAAAGGAGCATTCATTCCCCCGAAGGACAGGTAGGAACCTGAGAAACGTACCACAAGTAAGCCGGTCTGATGAGTCTGCAGACTACGTAATTCCAACTCTGTGATGTTCTCAAAAGCCAAGACTATAGAGGCAATAAAAAGGTCAATAGTTGTCAGGAGCTAAGGGAGAGAATGGGGTGAACAGACCGAGTACAGAAGACAAACCAGTCTCTGTGATCTTATCATGGGTAGCGACATATGTGTTCATACATGAATCAGAGCCCACAAAACTCCAGAGAGGACACTCATGAGCACTGTGGAATTTGGTGGATAGACATATCTCCGTGCAAATTACAAATGTGTTACCAAATGTGTCGCCTTGTCGTGAGTGGTGTGGAGGAAAGGAGGTGGTCTGGGTGTCTCCGGGAAAAGTGAACGGTCATTACTAGAATGAATGCTGAGATGCAGAATCTACCACGACCTCCGCATGAGCTCAGACTCTTTCATGCTTCCTCTTTGCTCTTCATGTCAGGCTTAAGGGAGAAAGACTTTTTTTGGAGGGAAGTTGTGGTGGCGGGGGGGGGGGGAGGGGGGAGTGCTGCAGGAGGAGAGAATGATTTTTTTTTAATCACAGTGAGATACACAGTTACAAAGTTTTTCATGATTATGCCTTAGTCATACAAAGTTCCAACACCCATCCCTTCACCAGTGCATCTCTCCTGCCACCAGTGTCCCACCTGCCCCCTTAGCCTGCCTCAATAGCAGACACTTCACTTTTCTCTCTCTCTCTCTCTCTCTCTCTCTCTCTCTCTCATTTTCCTTTTAGGCACTGTGATTTGTAGTACTTTGCTGAAAGGATATAATGCATATCACTTTTCCTCCTTTTATCACCTGGTTTTTGTCCAGAGCGAGCCTTTCCAATATCATGGCCATCGTGGTTCTCTCTATGGAGAGAGATTCTTCATGAGCGTTGAAGATTGTAGAGCGCAGTGGGAACTTGTAACAGTCACCCACTGTTTCCACGTTAGGTGGGACCGAAGTGGAACATGAATATATATATATAACAATTCTTTGGGCTGAAACCAAGTCTACATTAAGAAGGTTAATTAGCTAATGTTTATAAAGCACTGTGCAGATATGCCCTTTTAAAATGCTAAGTATTCTCAAAACCACATTGTAGCATTTTCCTAAATGTGAAGGATCTAACGTTCATCATTTCTTTTGGTACAGGTTGGCAAAGATTCTTTTGGCAATGACTACATAGAAAACTTAAAACAGAATGATATTTCTACAGGTAAAATTCCATTTTTTTTTTTTAAAGTTCTTCTAACTTTCTTCTGTGATCTGGTTATACGGGGGAAAGTTGAACCGAGAATAGAATTCTTACATCCTCCCCTGCTGGCCAGACTATTTTTCTGGGCGGCTTTGTCTAGTCTCGTTCCACCAGCCCGTGGTTCGTTCTTTCATGTACATCCTCCAGATGGGAATAAAAAAGACAGGAGGTTACCAACCTTCATCTTGGGGAAAATGTTTCCAAAGCAGGTGACGAGGGAGAACAGATGCCGTCATCACAAAAAAAAAAAAAAATATTTCAGGAAAAGTCATTGAATGTCACCGCGGGAAAGCATTTTGGGAACCTCGAAGGCCGATACTATCGTTTCATGGGAGTGAGAGCCAAAGGCCAGCCAGGATCCAGATTTGTCCGGGAGCCACGCGGCGAGTAGAAGCGAGAAGCAGGCCCGGAATGTGGGTCTTTGGCTCTGGTTCAAGACTGCGCCCACCCCACCGAGAGCCGTAGTCTCGCATATAAATGGAAACGTGAAGCAGGCAGCCCTTGGCAGCGGCAGAGCTGAGGGGAAGGAAGAAGATTCAACAGATTCATTTTCGAGCTTTGACCTTCAGTCTTTCCCCGCAAGTCTGTCATTTCTTTAAGTGAAGGAAAGAAACCCGGTGGTCTTGGGGGGGGGTGGGGGGAGCCACTATTCCAACTCTCACTCACACGGGAGTTGGGGAGGGGGGCCCAGAAGCCGGGGTGTTCAGGGAGGGTGGCTGAAAACAGAGACGAGGACTCAAGAAGTGCAAAGACATCAGCCTCCGAGAGGGGACGGGAGAAATTAGGATTAATGATTTCTGTGTTGTGATCCCAGATGGTTAAAGGTTGAGACGTTTTTCCAAGGATTAGAGGAGTTATTGAAATCGCTAAGCTAGATTACCCATGCCAGGCTGTGTGTGTGCCTGATCGTGATTTCTCTTTTTTCTTTAGAATTTGCATATCAGACCAAAGATGCTGCCACGGGAGCCGCTTCTATCATTGTCAATAACGAAGGTACGCGTCCTGCAGGCTGGAAGCGTCTCTGCACCTCGTTCGGAAACGGTGTTTTGTTTCTTTTGCCATACCCGTGCTGCTGGTGGATCATTCAGATATAAAGCCATCCACCTGATAATTATGAAACCTTACGTTGCCCCCCAATGATATTCCTATCCTGGGACATCCCATTACCCTTCATTTGAACTCAGAATTGACATTTGTCTCGGAACACAGCTAAGCGTGCATCTGTCATTCCTGTTGAACTGGATAAATAAATGTAAATAGATAGGTGCAAAAGGAAGATGATGAATCATATTTATAGTTGATTTACTGAGCAAATGGAAGCGACTAATTACTTCTAACTGATCGTTGGCATTCAGCTCTTTGAACGGCAATCACATCGCGAGTCTATATATACCCGTCTGTCGGAAGGGCTTTCGATGGCGGCAACATTAGTCTTTACTTAAGGGTAAAGGGAAGTCACAGATTTTAAAGTTTGCATAGCTTCTGCCAACTCTTATAAATTAATACTCGGAGGGACAGAACATTCCCTGCGGCCCCTGGGACAAAGCCTGGTGCATTGTGGGTAATCACTGTGCATTGCTGTTACATTAGGATTAGTCAGCCTGTGTCTTTTTCTATTTGTTGTTTGTTTGTGGGCCTGTGACCCTGGCTCTGCACTCGGAAATGACTCCTGGCAGGCTTGGAAGACCACACGGGATGCCAGGGATTGAACCCAGGTTGGCCACGTGCAAAGTGAGCTCCCTACCTGCCATGCTATCACTCTGTCCCCGCCATATGTCTTTTAATTCTGTTTTACACGATCATTTCTCACACCAAGAGAAGGTCTTTTTCAGCTCAACTTTAAACACTCCCAAAAATTGCAATGACGACAACAAAATATATTCCACTTAAGAAGGAAGAAAGCAAATTTTAACAATAGAAAAATGTTTTATTACTTGTTACCTCCATTTTTAATTATAGCAACCAACAGTAGCTCATTCCCGGCTTAAATCACCTTTTGTGTTGTTATCTTCAGCTTCTCCTTCTTTCTTCTCTATGTAACGAAGTCTCATTTTCCGGGCCTGAGCATAGTACAGCGGGTAGGATACTTGGCTGGCATTTGTGTTCAATCTCCAGCACCCCATATGGTCCTCTGAGCCCCACCAGGAGTGACCCCTGAGCACAGAGCCAGGAATAAGGCCTGAGCACCACTCAGGCTCCCCCCCCCCCCCCCCCAGAATGCCTCATTTCCCAAGCAAGGATGCAATGTAAACCATGTGCCCGGACTACTTATGAGTCTCTGGCTGGTTCCTAACAGAAGGCAATGCCTACAGCAACCCACATGGTCATGGCAGAGCACATGCCTTGCACGAGCAGGTGCTGGGCTCGGAAGAGCCCGGATTGGAGGGGAGGAGCTGTCACACAGATCCCGAGTCAGCCTCTTGAAAGGACGGCCCACGGTGTCAAGTCATGAGTTCAGCTATGACAAGTTCAGCCAGGCAGGAGTTAGTGAGCCCCAGGGAGGAATCCGGCCGTCAGCTGTAGCCTTGGGCCTCACTGACCCCGACCCCCACTTCCACTGGGGCCTGGGCCAACCTCACAGGGGCGGCCGTTGACTCCAGCCGAGCAAATGAGGTCAGGGAAGGAGAGCAGGCGTGAGCTGCTGCCAGAGTGGGCACAGAGAACTCCCCCAGGACGAAGGCAGGCTTTCTGCTGGGTTCACTTTTCCTTGTGGCCAGCAGAGCCTGCGGTAAGATGATCGACCCGCGCATGTTCTGTGCCGAGGGGATCTCGGGTCACGTTCATCCGAGACTGCCATGGGTAGCCACTGCTGCCCACGGATCTGAGCAGCTGCCAGCAGACAGTGCCAGCTCGTGCCTGCTCGAAGGGGGCCGTCAGCCACGTGGTCAGCGGGAGGAAGAAACAGGCACAAGCTGTGTCATGCCGTGGTCGCTTCCCCTGGGGTCACTGATGTATTGCCCTTCCAACACATAACCCAAATGTTCTTCCAGATGTTGAGGACGAGAGGGAGAGAATACAGGGGAGAAGGCACCTGCCTCCCATGCAGCTGATCCCCAGCACCTCAGGGTCCCCCCAAACCCCAGCACAGTAAAGGGGCCAGGGCTGGAGCGATAGCACAGCAGGTAGGGCGTTTGCCCTGCACATGGCTGACCCAGGTTCGATTCCCAGCATCCCATATGGTCCCTCAAGCACCTCCAAGAGTAATTCCAGAGTGCAGAGCCAGGAGTAACCCCTGTGCAGAGCCGGATGTGACCCAAAAAGCAAAAAAAAGGGAAGGGGGGTTTGTCAGTGAGCTAGCACAGCCGTTGAGGTGCTTGTGTTGCACACAGCTGACCTGGATTTGATCCCTAGCGCCTCCACAGGGTTCTCCAAACTCCACCAGGAGTGATCACTGAGCACTGCCAGGTATAACCCAAAAAAGCAAAAATGTGATAGTAATTGAGCAAGCTTACTCCCTTTGTCTGCAGTCTCTAAAACCTGCCATGCATGACACAGTTAAAGCATACTGCGGTTTAGACAAGCCAGATTTCAAGGGTCCAGTCACCACACCCTCTGACTTACATTTTCCTGGCTCACACGTTGGCCAGCCCAGCCCTTGAAAGTCCACCTGTCGGCTGAAATGCACTGCCCACCTGTCCAGGGCGGATTTACACAGGGGACCCATGATCCATGTGTGGAGTATGTGAAGTTCCTCAGCCCCCCTTCCCTGTGATCTGCCATAAGCCTAGGCTCCCCGTCCACCTCAAGGGATCATGTTCACTTTCCCGTCTCCGAGCTACCACACAGTGTATTTTGATTTGCAAAGTCACTTTTCCAACTCCCTGAGGGGAGGCCCATGAAATGATTAGTTACCACAGAGCATTAGTGTGTGGTATTAGGCAAGTGTATTCCTGATTTACTCATCATTACGCCATCTGTCACTTAGGATTTGGAAGCTTCACCACACATACTATATGAGCCATTTACCACGAAAGAAAGTTCTGAAGTACGAACTTTGTCATTTTGCAGCTAATGCTCTTCACACATCAGAGTATCGATCAAGGAACGCTGATTTAAGTTTTGCTCAAAATGATGAGGACGATATGAATCCTATAGACATATTGCAAAAGACATGTTGGGAGTCAAAAATTTGAATCATTTAGCCTCAAGATACTAGAATTAATGCCTAAAATCTCTGTGGCATCATATTTTTGCATGGGTGAGGCTCAGCTTCCTGGGCTTTGCTTGGTTTGACTGTCAATGTAAAGCATCGCATCGCTTCTCCTCCGTAGGCCAGAACATCATCGTCATTGTGGCTGGAGCAAATTTACTTTTGAATTCCGAAGACCTGCAGGAGGCCGCCGGCGCCATTAGCAGAGCCAAAGTAATGATCTGTCAGCTCGAAATAACTCCAGCTGTGTCTCTGGAAGCCCTGACAATGGCCCACAGCAATGGAGGTAATTTTACATATTTCTCATTCCTTCTCCAAAAGCTTTTACCTTTGTCTTAATGAAAATTAACCTTTTAGCAGCTGGAGGGGGAGTAACTTGAGTGCAGTGGGTACCAGGTTTGCCTGGTATGCGGACAACCCAGGTGCAGGGCCTGGCACCTCCTTTGGTCTCCTGAGCACAAAGCCAGGAGTATGCCCTGAACACTGCTGTGTGTGACCCCAAAACCAAACCAAAAAAAAAAAAAGTCCATTTTTCAAGGGCTGAAGCAATAGTACAGTGGGAGGGCACTTGCCCTGCACACAGCCAACCCGGGTTCAGTCCCCGGCTCCCCAGATGGTCCCCCAGTCCCTACAGGGAATAATTCCTGAGCACAGAGCCAGGAGTAAACCCTGAATACATGGGTGTGACCAAATAATTAAAAATAAAAAATTAACCTTTCAAATGCAGCAATGTTACTTGCAGTCAAATATTCTTTTTCTGGTATCTGAAATGCCTTGGTTCCTGACAGTTTTTGGTGTTAGAAAACCTTAAAAATCAGGAGTAAGTACGTGCATCGGCGACTAGCATTTCTCATATCTCACTATACAAATCTTTAGTCTGGCTAGCAGAAATAATGCAGGTAGTGAGGAAGATCTGGAAATGTCCATGTCCAGCCACGTCCCATCATTCCCTCTAGGGAGGGGAATGGTTTCCATCCCGAGAAGCAGAGATTAGGCTGCATGTCACATCTAATACCCACCCAGCTGCATTTTTACAATTACCGACCCATTTCCAAAAATGATTTCTTTCTGCTTTTTATGAAATGTGTAGCCTCTTTTGTTAACAACAAAGATTACTTACCTGTAATAATTTCTGCGTTGTCAATATACTTTCACCTCTTCTATTAACAAAGAGTATTTATCTGTCATAATTTCTGTCATTAATGTGTTTTCATAGTATTTAACTTCAAATTGAGAGAATTTTCTTTTTCTTTCTGGTTTTGGGGCCACTATCTGGTTTTGGGGCAGTGCTCAGGGAAGCTTGTGCAGTGCCCAGGGTCAGACCTGGGCCGGCTGTCCGCAGACCCTGAGCTCCAGTGTTTTGGGCTGTCTCTGGCTCCGGGTTTGGGGAATTTTCAAACATACACCTAAAACACGCAAAACCATGCAATGAAATATCACTGAGTTTCCTTGATTATCAGCCTGTAGCTCACCTTGATGTATGTTCTCCCGGATTCTCTGCCTCCCACTTCCAGCAAATAAATGTTTGAAAAATCCAAATATTGGGCCCAAGAGTCCAGTGGCTGGGCACTTGGCCTTGCATGATGCTGCTGGCCAGGTTCTGTCCCCAGCTCCAGCACCACGTTGCCCCTGAGCCCACTCGGAGTAAATCTTGAGCACCACCGGGTACGGCCCAAGAACCAAATCAACAACAAAATCCAGGTCAGATTGTTTCTTTGTTTGCTTCGTTTCACCAGCTGATGGAGAAAGCACCTTCAGAATGAGAATCTCATCCCTGTTCCTTTTAGCTTATGCTGTTCACACAATTGTTTCATTTTTATAAACTTGTTAACTACCTATGGAAATCCTTCCCTACTGAATTGTTCTAAAGCATGAAAGGATAGAGACTATAATACTAGACTTGGCATAGTTGCCTCCATAAATCCTCATTTTGTTTTTCTCCTTTTCACTTCTCTCTCTAAAATTATGGGAGACAATAACTCATAAGGTTGGGATTATGCCTTGCATGCCGGAGACACGGAGTTTGATCCCTGGCTCTGCATGGCTCTTCCAGGGACCACTGGGTATAGCCCTCAAGAGTGTCACTGGCCCTCAGGGTCAAACCATCCTTATCCTGGTTGGCCACATTATCACCCCAGACCTTCCAAGCTATTCTGGGAAACCCCACAAAATAGTTGATAAAAATTCGGGTAGGATTCTGATCTCACTACCACGTGGTCAACAACAACAAAAGCATCAAAATAGTGCCAGGAAAATAGCTCCAAGGGTGGGGGGGCCAGTGCATCATGCAAGAGGCCCAGGTTTGCTGCCCAAGAATCAAATTCTGTGCAGCCCCAAAACAAAAAACAAAATCAAAATAGCATTGAGCCATTCCAAGACTGACGTTTTGAGATTTAGTAATAGTTCTGTGATTGACAGAAATAGAAAATAGAAAACACACCAACTTTTCCAGATAAAACTTGATCACCCGTGGCCAGAGCAATAGTTCAGAAGGGAGAGTGTTTGCCTTGCACTTGGCCAACCCGAATTCAATTCCCAGCATCCCATATGGTTCCTCAAGCACTGCCAGGAGTGATTCCTGAGTGCAGAGAATAACCCTGAGCATTGTCAGGTGTCATCCAGAAAGGAAAAGGGGGGGAAAAAAAAAAGCTTGATCACCAAATAAAAAACAAAACAAAAATGGAGCAAAACGGAACAGCCAGTGCCATGAGGGCTCAGGGGCGGTGATCTCCCCCCCCCCAGGTGCACGTGGGGCTCTGCAGAGCGAGTGTGTGGGGGGTGTCTAAATGTGTGACTCCATGTCACAGGTCTCCAGCCAAACCATGGGCCAGACCAGTTCCCACTGACCCCAAGCGTATCGCGAATGGACTCTCCCAAGCGGTCAGAAAGAATCCCGAGCCAGGACCCACGGGCTCTGGTTCTTTTGGAATGTCCCACATAAGGCTTCCACGGGTGGCATTGTCCACTCTCCGCCTTTGGCCGGGGCCTACCTGCCAGGCGCCCTCCCGCCTCCCTTGGCCAGACCCCAGCAGATCCTCCTGTAACTTCTCTTCTGTGTGTTCCCGTCTCCTGCCTCTCAGACATCACTGTCGCCTCTGTCCTAATCTACTTACCTGGCCACTGCCCGGCTTGTGGAGGAAAGCAAGGGACAGACTCCCCCACCGAGGAGCCCAAGGAGCCCACCCCACACAGGTGAGGCGACAGCTGTCAGTGGGGGCGCTGGGGGCGCAGGGGCTCAAAAGTGCTTCATACCCCCATGTGCTGGGCAGTTCTTTAGAAGCCAGGACATGGCAAGGAAGGGGGCAGGAGAATGTTCGACGTCTACCTGTCTCCTTCCGTGGCTTCATTCTGCATCCTTCAGCTTCTGTTTTCTCTGTGTGCTTAATTGCGGTGGGGGGGCACCCCCTGTACAGCCATATCATTATATAAGAAGTGGTCTAAGCCCCTTGCCATTGTTTGGACTTGACAACGTATAAAAGCTCTTTCAGGGGCTGAAGCGATAGCATAGCGGGTAGGGTGTTTACCTTGCACACAACCAACCTGGGTTCGATTCCCAGCATCCCATATGGTCCCCCAAGCACCGTCAGGAGTGATTCCCGAGTGCAGAGCCAAGAGTAACCCCTGTGCATCTCCGGGTGTGACCCAAAAAAGAAAAATAAAAAGAAAAGCTCTTTCAAATATCTTTGACAGTCAGAAGAACCCCTTTCGGCCAAGAGATTCTCCCAGACGTTAAGGTGGGCAGACTGAGACGTGGAGGGGTCAAAGTCAACCAGTCACCCATGTCCTCACAGTGGCCCGAGAGGCAGGAATTGGGACTGGGTGACCAAACTCCTGGTCTCTCGGTGAAATCAGGCGCGGCCTAGAGAGGGCTCACGGGGCTGGGGCACGTGGGTTTGTATTTGCCAGATGCAAGCAGGAATCCCAGCGCTTCATGGTCCCTAGAGCACCACCGGGACCCCCCAAGCACAGCCCAGAGTCGCCTCCACGCACTGCCAGGAGTGACTCAAATCTGGCAGGGGTCCGGGGGGTGGCATAGGAAAAGGAACATCAGCCACAGCTCATTGATTTCAAAGAACTTGGCCCTTCGTGAACCATGCCTACAAACATACGCAGAATGTGGCTGGTCCCCTCTGCCCAGCGGTCAGTCACGGCTTGATTTTAGAGCGTGCATGTGACTTGGACACATTTTTATTCTCCCATGAAAAAGACCAGCGAGGAACTGGAGCGATAGCACAGCGGGTAGGGCGTTTGTCTTGCATGCAGCCAACCCGGGTTCAATTCCCAGCATCCCATATGGTCCTCCGAGCACCACCAGGAGTAATTCCTGAGTGCAAAGCCAGGATTAGCCCCTGTGCATCACCGGGTATGACCCAAAAAGAAAAAAAAAAAAGAGGAAAAGGAGATGGACCAGTGAAAGGAGCACTGGCTTGGGAGTCGTGACGCAAGGCTTTGAATTCAGAATCAGTTAGTAAGCAAATGGAAATGCGCTAACAAGCCAGTCAGCAACTCAGGCCTTAGATTCTCCTTCAGAAACCAGAGAAGCGGGCCAGGAGCGCCCAAAGCACAGTGTCTGTGGGTGCCAAGTGCCCATCACTGCCCCCAGAGCCCCCATCAGCACCAACCCGACTCAGGAGGCTTCTCCCTGCCCCCTTAGCTGCCCCACTCACAATAGTGATGCTGGAGTTAAACCCACGCAAAAGAGGGTTTCCCCACAGAGAGACAAGCTCAGGAGTCGCAGCCTGTGCTTTGAAATCAATCCAATCCCCCGAACCAAAGCACTGGGCTTATTATTTTGTTTTAGGGCCACAGCCAGTAATACTGGGGGTTTACTTCCAGCCTGTTGCTCAGGAAACCAGGCAGTGGAGGGGATCAAAGGCAGGTACTCTACGTGTAAAGTGTGCTGTGCACTGGCAAAACCTATCCCTTTATTTTGGATTTTTAGAGGGGAATACATCGGGTTTCGTTTGTGACAACAATAACGCTTCATTAAAGAACACAGTATCCAGTGACATGACCCAGGAGGACACAGTGACATCTTCCCACACTCAGGAAAGAAATGCTTTGAGTTCTCACAGCTCCTGGCCACTGAGAAGGCTCCTCCACCAAAGCCACGTGTGAGACAAAGAATTTCATGAGAAATTCTGTGACATTTAAAATAACATGCAGAGCGGCCAGAGAGTGTCCAGCAAGTTAAGGCGCTTGTCGGGCATGAGGCCAACACAGGCTCGATCCCCAAAACACATGATCATCTCAGCACCACCACGGGTGACCCCAGGACCCCTGAGC